GAAACAAGTCTTTTAAAACCATCTACAAAATTTCCTGTTTCACCTAATGTTCTTGCAGCATTTACAAGCTCACCCATTCCCGCTTTTGACCCCAAAAACGTCCATATTGCATTTATTTCACTCTGTATAGTTGTCCATTCAGCGAAACTAACACCCGCATTCGCTAAGCTGAAAATGAAATTCAGTGGATCGAACTTAATTCCACCTTCTTTTTCAATTTCAACGAACTCACTAACATGAGATTTTAAGTATTCTTTCGTTAAAATTGTTTTCCCCGATGTTATGTCATTAACGAAACTATCACCGTCAAAAGTTAACGAATTCAATTTCGTCGTTGATGCTTTTATTTCATACACCGCTTTATCAATAGTTTTTGGCTCACCTTCTTTAGAAGCATATGAAACATTAATGAATGAATTATATGTATTCGTGAATGAATTAAAATCAATGATTTTCATTAATGACGCCTTTAATGATTCATTTACTGTCGAATCCCTTAAAGTAATTAATGAACTGTCATTTATGAAAGGTACACTGCAAACCGTCGAGTTTGGATCAAATGCTGTAGTTGGTGCATGAATATTAATGATATAAGTCATTAAATCATTAAGTGACGTAAATAATGTTGTCGTTTTTGATTTAATTTCTTTAGCATCTGTTATATACGGTAATTTTATTTCTGTAGTTTCTGAATTAAAGATATTCGCTAAAATGTTTTGTAAACTGTTTTGAACAGCTGTGTAAACCGTTGAATCCGGAACTCTTACGATTTCACCGTCCTTAATAAAAGGCATTGCACATGGTGTAGTGCTTGGGTCAAATCTTTTTGGGTTATGATTCAACATATATTCTAATGCTTCATAAACAGACCTATATACGGTTGTATTATCTTTTTCAATAATTTCACCGTCCTTTATAAACGGCATAGTACATGGAGTTAAAATAGGGTCAAACTTTTCATAGTCCTTCCATGTTATGTATTTCTCAGTATTTCCATCAGTGATAACAATATATTTGTCAGTAAGTGTGAGAGAGTATTGACCAAAATATAAACGTTTAGCTCTGTCAGCTTCATACGCATATGCAGCTATACTCATATTTTAATGAGAATAAAATGTTGTTCTATTTGCAAAGTACAGACCCGAATGAATACGGGACAGTAAAGCTACAAACAAACTTAGGTCTACAGAATGAGGCGCTTGCATTCAGAATGGTTGACTTCAATACTATCGCTTCATTCGTTATAACAGATGAAACAGATTTCATGGAGATTGAAATAGATGGAAAGAAGCACGAAATAAGATTTCACAATAATGTAGAATATAAGATGGAAACATTAGCTGGAGTGTTAAATGCTCTCATAAATACTACAATAAACAAGGATAACGAAGAAAACTTAATGAATGTTAAACTTATTGCAGGAGTTTTGAAGTTCAGTTATGCGAAGGAGTTTAAGATAACACGAATGAGTCATAGAGTACAACTTCTTTTGGGTGCATACCATATGACATTTCCTTTGAAAAGTGTTGACAAAACGATTGAGATGAAATCTGTTCCATACGTATGTTATGGTAATTGTTTATACATTGAGTCTAAAATAGCTAATGTCACAGGCATTTCAGGAGTTAATAGTAAAGGTTCAGTAGAATATAAATCCTTCTGTTATGCAGTCAATTCAATGTTCATTCCAAATGTTCCTGTCATAGCAACTCATTTAGGTAAATGGGTTCGCATTAGTCCTCATAATTTGAAAGACATGCAATTCAGACTTGTTGACTTTCAAGGAGAGCCTGTAGAACTGAAGGCACCAGTGCGAATGACTGTTGAAGTTGACTTTTTAGAAAATATTAAATGCAACAGCTTACAAGAGAACTCAGAGCTAAAAATATAAAGTATGAATGTTATGTATTAGGTCATGCACTTTGGTTGTTGCTGTTTGATGAAACAAATGAATTAGTTATGTCAGTCAAAGAACAGAAAAATATTGTGTTAGTGAAAACTGCACCAAGTCAATAAGATTAGGTTTGCATTATGAAGATGAGTTCGATACTGTTGAAGAAGTTTTGGATAGATATTACAAATTGCTAACTTGAAATTTTTTGACTGACGGCGCAAAGCGCCAAGATGGGCTCAAAGAGCCCTCCTGACTGCTTTAATTTACTAAAACATATTTCAAACAAAGCTTATAGTCAGTAGATAGTTTTGTATACTCGTTCGAATATTTATACTTAAACTCAACTCCTGTAGTTCCTGGTGTTTCAATGATGCGGATGTTACCTATTTTCATGAATAGTGGAGTTTGACCACAGCATTCTATTTCAGGGTCGAGATAGTCAATGACACATTGTTTCCCTGTTATTCGTGAGATAACATTTTCAAGGTCCTCCTTTGTTAGAATTATTTGGTTCTTGCTTATAAGATTTGTCAAAAGCTTTCTTATCGTCTTTGAGTAAAATTGTTTGGTATAACTGAAGAAGGTAATGGTCTACGTTATCTGAAGGATTTGTTTGAACATTTGTGTAAGGATTGTCGTTGGCTTCTCTTGAAAGAATTTGGTCCAGTGGTGGATACTCTAACTTAACGTCTGATGTAGCGTTAGCGTTTGAAGCTGAGTTTAAATTCACGGATTTCAGCTCTGGTTCTGGTTCTTTCAAACACTCTGAACTATAGTTCTTTATGACAATATTGTTTGTCGTTCGTGAGTCAACATTTGATGTTGGTTCAATTGGAACATTAACGGCACCAGCTAAGATGGATTTGCTTCTCATTTCATATAGAATAAAAACCTTTTATATGTATGAAATGAACAATATACTCGACAAGGGTTTGAATGTAAAGCTAACGAATGAAAATATTGTTGAATTCACTGAGACAGGTGCTGTGTATAAAGATGTAGAACTACTGAACAAAAGAGCTAAGGAAGAAGCAGGAACATGAACAAAGGGTGGAAGCCTATAAAAATTTATGTCAATGATGGCTCAGGAGGTTCAAACATAAAGTATGCAGAAAGTTATAGAGTTTATGCTCTCAAAGGTGAAAAGCCTTCATTTAAGAACAGCTATTCTAACACATATCCTCAAAAGCTAACGGATGGGGAAGTGGATGATATGAATGACAGCAAAAATATTAACAGAAATGGCGACAGAGATGCATGGAATTTGTTTACCATCAGTCAATTGAAGGTTAAACTTTAAAACAATGTTGGTCGTTCCCATGGAATATTTTTGACTTTAATGGTATTAGTCATGATATGAATCTCAAGGTTATGAACGAGGAGAGATGAGAGACTTATATGCTTCCCAAATTTCTTCAAAAGGTAATGTTATACCTGACTGTTTCCAAATGAGTTCAATGTCATAGCGTGAGCTTGAAAGATAACGAAGTCAGTTATGAGACGTTTTATGTTTAAAGCTAAAAACCTCCATGTTTGCATAAGTATTGCTACAGTTAAATGGTAATGTCTGACTTTAGTAATGATGTTAGCTAATGGTGAGTCTGGTTTTGACACTAAACCTTTACCAGCGAAGTCGTCACAAACGAGCAGAGTGTTTGAAGGATACTTTTTGAAGGGGTATTTTGAAAGTTTTGACAGAATGTAGTTTGTAAGTCGTTTCATATCGTAAACTCCTGAGTATTGACGTAAGTGGTGTTTGTCAATAATTCTTTCCATCTCCTCAGAAGTCTTTTGCATTCCTGACTGTATAAATTCAACGATGGCATAATATTTTCTCTTACGTCGAATGTAACGTTGAAGAAATTCAATGAGTTCACTGTCTGGAACTTTAACGACAGAGGCTTGAACTTTTGACATAAATGTTTTCGCTGTTGAGTCCATAGAGTCTGAAGTTGCTGATATAATGATTTGGTCATAATATGAGTCATTTCCTAAACGTTTTGTTATGAGTATATGACGAATTAAATTAAATGTCTTTCCTGACCCCATCTTTCCACAATAGAAATAAACGCCATTTGAACAGAACTCATAGTCCTTACTGAAAGGAAGAATGAGAGAAGAGTTAAGTTTGTCTGTAGTTTCATTCATGTCTTCATCTACGTCATGTATTAAATGCTTCATTTTATCTCCATTAAAAATGCAAGTCAGAAATATTCAGAACATAGCACCGAGTCTAACTGACAAGAGTATAAAGATATACTATGAACATGTTATGATGAAACCAACCAAAATTCAAGAAAGTCAGTATACTTATGAATATCCAAGACACTGGGTAGAGTATGTAGGAGGTGAGAAAGCTATTGAAATCAGACAGGTTCGAAGTATTCCAGCAGGAAGAACAATATTATTGAAGAACTTTAATGTTTTGAGGTATAATGATGAAACAAAGAAGCAAGATAGTTTTCCTGTTGCTGTGTATGTGAACTTAGATACAGGAGATGACATGAAAGTTTTTAACACAAAGCTTCAAACGGTAGTGAGAGAACAACTGACTGCGGAAGGGCATCCATTACCTTCAGAAGTTACCATAGCATATAATTTTGAAACAAACTCAATAGATTTAAAGTCATCTCTGCAAAGAAGTCAGGTTTTACATTTAATGAAGCAGATGTATATTCGAATGAAAACTTCAAAGCTATTGCATGGTTAGATAATGACGATTGCTTTAAGAAAATATTTAAATACAGTGACT